CCTTCCCACAATTCAAGGAACCATATATTATGGTTTTTTTGACAAATTTAAAATTTATACCAAATACGAAAATCAATTTTGAATATTCAATGAATGAAAATCCTCAAAAAATTGTTCAAAAATTTTAACGACAACCAACAGCAAAGCACACTAGATAGACTGAATCCAATTTAAGTTCGAGTGTTCTAACCTAGGAGAATTTCTCTTGATATTCTAACTAAAAATTTCTGCATAAGTTCGAGATATCGTTCTCAAAAACTTTTTCACATGAACAGTTATTTATATTATGATTCGAGCCACTCCTGCTACTAAATCCGATATGTTTTTCAAAATGTGAAATGTGCTATTCTTTGAAAATAAATGTTTCGCTCATAAAATTTATTAAATAATAATTGAGAATATATATCGCTACAATGGACTCAATTTTACCAAATATAGCCATTTTTTGACATCCATCTTAGTGCCATTAAAACAATGCCTAAATTATTTTTACAAAATTTCAAAAGTTGATGCTTCACAGACTTACTTCAAACAATCGGAAATAACTGAATCAATTTTTTCTAGTTCAAAAGTTAAAAGAAATGAGACGGTAAGGTTTGAAGATAAGATCTCAGAAAGTTATGCATATTCTCAGGCTGATATTCTCTTAGATCCGCATACCCAATGTTCTGCTCTTTTTCGATCGTAGTTACTCTCCAGGGTATCATTCATATCCGCTGGGTCTGATCAATAAATCGTTGACGTTGACATAAAATGCTCAGTAAGCAATATTTGACATTCTTAGAAGTGTTCATGCGAAATATTTTTCGCTTAACGGAAAAGGCAAAGCAATTCACTATTACTAACTCTTTCTGGGCTCTTTCTGGGTGGTACAATTAAAAATGTTGAAAATTTGTTTGAAAAATCCAACATAACTAGTTCTCGAAAATATCAGGAATTTTCGGGACAATATTATGCGTTTGATTGTTGATATTTGCGGGTATTTTACAGATGTCGAAAATTTATAGAAATGTAAAAGTAATTACAAAATCCTTATCTCATTTCCCAATTTGTGACTTAAATTCGATTTCAAAATATTTTTTTAATAATTACCCGATAAGATTGACTTACCTAAATAACTGAAACAAACTTTTACCATCTTTTTTGATTTACAAAAAAAATTTGAGATGGATTACCCCCAACTTACATTGTGTTTCTTCAGAAGTGAAATTGCATCTTAAACTAATTTTGATTTAGTAATATTATTCATTTATGTTTAATCCCATATTAATACCATTATTTTATACCTCAATATTTCTGTTATTACCACACTGACATATTAAGTATGAGTGGATTATTTTTGGATTAAGACATATCATTTTCAAAAATTTTCTGAAGAATTACCGCAGAATAAAATGACGAAATCCAATAATTTTCATAGTCCTACAGTTTAATTTAGCAAAGATATCGAGCTTTCGAGCTATTGTTGCTGAAAAATTAAAATTTAATTCTAGAACTTGACGCAAAAGCTTCCGCCTGCTGCAATCCATTTTACAGTTCGTCATGATATTGATGTGGAAACAAGCCACAGTATCGAGTAATAGTTTTTTTTTTTTTTAGTCTCAAAAATTAAGATAAGAAATAAAATAGAATGCAAAGAAAGGAAAAGATATTGTCATGATTTAGAAAGGTAAAACGAGAAACATGCATTTATAAATTTCATTCAGGAATTTTCAATATCTTCAGGAAAACAAGATATCATAAAAGTTTCTCAGAAAAACAAAATTATTGAAATAAACGTTTTAAATGAAAATTACGTTGCAAAAAAGAAAAAATGAAATATAACAGGAAGAGAGGATTTGCTCACTATGCCGCAAAAAGACGTCATTAATAGTTTCTAAATATGTTTACAAACAGCCAAAAATTCAGTTTGCTTTTATTTTGAATTTAGATTTTAAATAATGCAAAAAGTAAGCAAATGTGAACGAAAAAAAAGTTGCGGAAAAAGGAATAGCATATAAAATTCAGTTTCTGTTATCGAATTTTTTCCGCATCAGCCGAATCACAAAGTAATGACTCAATTGTCTGAGAAAGTAAGATGAAGCAAAATCAAAATTAAGCAAAATTTTGCATTCATTTTATGTAGCGTTTACCAAAATATTTCAACAAAATCAGAATTTGTTAAACTGGGAGCATTTTCTTATGAATTATTCCACATTATTTAACAAGCAGTAAAGCTAAGGTTACACTCCAAAAATAATATCAAGAATAAATTGAAAGGGCAATAAGTTTTAAACGAGACATTTTGATATTCCGACAATGTAAAAAAAACTTTTTAATAGTCTTGATCAAATTAATAGTCTTGAAAAGTAGTTGAAAGATCAGAGGTTGCCCCTATTCCCATATTTCATTTTTTTCTTTTATTTTTTTTGTAGCTATCTGATGTCCAGAAATATAGTTTTAATCTAAGAAGAATAGAATTAAGCTGCCAAAATTTATTTGAATTTGTGAACTTGGTAATAATGATAAAATTAAAACCTAAAAAACAATCAAGTAAAAGCAAAAGTAAAAACCATGTAATCAGAAGTAAGATGAAGAAATTTACGAAAATATTGCAAAATTTATGATCTAATTATTTAATCGACAACATTAATTTGGTATACTTCATTGGTAAAGTTTTAACTTAATATTAAAAGCGCAG